TCCATGGGGTCTCGAAGAGTCAGACATGACTGAGCAACTTCACTTTCAATTTTCACTTTTATGCATTGGAGAAGGAAATGGCAACCCACTCCAGTGTTCTTGCCTGGAGAATCCCAGGGATGGGGTCGCACAGAGTTGGACACGACTGAAGTGACTTAGCAGTAGCAGCAGTAAGCATATATGTGGAGAAGGAAATGGCAACCCACTCTAGTATTCTTGCCTGTCAGATCCCATGGACAGAGGAACCTGGTAGGCTACAGTTCATGAGGTTGCAAAGAGTCAGACACAACTGAAAACACACACACACACACACACACACACACACACAGAAGCATATATGACAAAACTGAGATCATTTTATACATGCTAGTTTATAACCTAGTTTTCTCCAATCAACAGTATCTCATGAAAATGTTTCACATCAATGAATACAGGTTATTTCAACCTCTTTATTGACTGGTCAACCAGGTCAGCAATGTCCATGGTCACAGAGCAGTCAGTTGTGACGCAGGCTGATTCTGGCAATTAGAAGCTCACAGTTTCAGGGCATGGTGGGGCAGAGGGCAGTAGCCAAGAAATGAGGGAATATGAGGAGAAGAAGAGGGATAAGTCTAGCAGACTAATTTTTTAAAAAACTCAGCTGAGACTTTAATGTAACACAGAGAATATGAGTGTCAAGAGTGAAATACCATACATTAAAGGATTAATAGATATCTCTTGATAGTGAGATTATATTATTGTCTTTCTTTTATCTTTATTTTCTAAAATGTCTACAACAGTCTTATATCACTTTTCTATACCACCATTCACAAAGTCATAGGTTTAAAACAGCAGCAGCTAGAGGAAGACATACAGTTAGACAGATTTTTCCAGATAGGAGACTTGAGCACATTAATAAGCAGGGCAGATGGTATTGTTAAGGACAAACAGCAGAGATACTAAAGATACAGTAGAGGGGAAACTGCTGACAGACACTGACATCTCAGGAGACAGGAAGGGCTGGCGTCCATAGCGGAGTGGGTGTATTAGACTAGGAGCCCTAAGATTCAAAAAGTAGAGAAACACAGGTATGGTTCCAACTTCCACATACACCACTCAACTAACCCTTTACACGAGTTCAGGGGCTTTGGGATAATGGTCCAAGTTTGACCTACTCTTCCCATGGAAGAGGATGGACAGCTGATGGGAAGAGGAAAGTGATGACAGTCCTGAGAAGTGATGAAGGGACAGCTGAGGCTGGAGACCCTCCATAGAAGCAGAATGAGACTATCCCAGTATGTGACGGCCACCAGAAGCTTTCCACATTCTTAGTGTAGAATCCAGAACTGGGGGGATGGGGGGGGGAGTGGTCTGCTCTGGGGTGGGACACACGGGCCATGGCATGGTCACTGAGGGCAAGAGCCAGTTAAAATCCAGGACCATGGAGTCCAGGAAGGACACGGTAGGTGCCATGTTCACAAGATAGAGAAAATGGAAGTGTCAGAGAACTTGAGGTCTCCTTGAGGTCCCAAGGTAGGTAAAGCAGAAATTGGACTGTGGTCAGAGAACAATACTGGGGTTTAAGGTTTCAGAGGTGGCCACATGCCAATGATGACCAGACTCAGGTGTAGCCGGCAGAAGGAGTGGCTGAAGGAGGCATCACCTCGCATGAGACAACGGGATGTGGAATGGGAGACTGTGGTCCAACACCAATGTTCTCCAGGAAAACAAAGAAGAGAGTCAGAGGGACAGAAGGCAATAGCTAGACTGTAGGAGCCTCAAGGAAGGAGGCTGTAACCCTGGCTCCAACCTGACCCCCCTCTGGTCCCAGGCTGTCTCCCAAAGGTGTTACAGAGAAGTCAGTGTAGCAAAGTACTGATGGTGGGAAAGCCAGCGCTCAGGGCCAGAGCACAGCGCAAGGCTGCCTTGTTTGTACATTGTTAGCCCAGAAAGAACTTAGGCTTGGGAGGGCTACAGAAGGCTGAGGTCACAAGAATGAAAGGTTCCAGGATCCTCTGCTCTTCTGTCAGGGATTAGCCTTTATACTTGGGCAGGGGGAGAGGGGAGCAGCAATGACCAGCCTCCGCGAACCAAAGCTCCTAAACTGCAAAAGGAGAGAAGTAGCAATTCATTCCTCAACTGAGAGTCTTTCATAATGTTGGGAGGCACTGGGAGTGCTACATATCCCCTAAAGATGCAGGCCTAAGGGAGCACTTCCTCAATTATCAGTAAGATAGCAAACACTAACTGAATTTTGTTCAAAAGACAGACTACAATTTATTTCATTTCTGTGAAGTTGAGCAGACAGAAGGTCTCACAGTAAAGAGTGAGGTCCATGGCAAAAAGAAGGGAGTCAAGTCTGGCCTCAGATCAGGACAGAGACCTGTGGTTTGTTCCAGGGCTCCCTACTCACCAGCATGAGCCCCATGCTTGGCATAGAAATAGTCATTTTCTTCCTGCCCACCCAGAGCTTATCTGCGAAGATGGAAGTTTCCCCCTCCAGCTCTACCTTTGGTCTCCTTACCCCACACCCATTTTCCATATCCCCAGCCCTGATGTCCCAGAACTATGACTCTTTCTCAGAAAACACTACTCTCCTGGCATTGCTCACAGTCCTGTGATGACTCTCCAGTTATTGAGTTGCTAAGTTGTGTCTGACTCTTTGCGACCACATGGACTACAGCACTCCAGGCTTCCCTGCCCTTCACTATCTCCTGGAGTTTGCTCAAACTCATCTCTACTGGGTCAGTGATGCCATCCAACCATCTCATCCTCTGTTGCCCCCTTCTCCTCCTGCCCTTAATCTTTCCCACCATCAGGGTTTGAATCTTTCTCAGAAAACACTACTCTTCCAGCACAGCTATCTCTGTCCTGTGATGACTCTCCAGTAGCCCCTACTGATCTTGTGCCTGGCAGTCAAGGCCTTGTGCCAATCAGCTACAAAACTCCCACCCACCACCTTCTGCTTCTCGTCCACACACTGACCCACTTCCGAGCTTCATGCCGATCATATTGAGCCATCCCGTCTGCTTCCAGTGAGCCTAAACCAGAGCCATGCTAATTCCTCTCAGTCCTACTATTTTTCTCATATCCCACCTCTTCTGGAAGCCCATCTAGACATCCCTGCTGTGCCTCCCACTACTTATATTCTGAACCAGTTATTGGGCAACGAATGCTCATTCTCATCCAATCTCTTCCTGGTTCCATCATGGATGGGGCTTCCAGGAGGGACTCAGCACGGAACAGAGCACAGAGAACAGGTCAATCACGTTCTTGCTTAAGATGTGGACACAGAGCAAAGGAGCTTGGAACCTTCCATTCTTGTGACTTCAGCCTCCTGTAGCACTCCCAAGCCCAGGGGTGGGAGTGGAGCAACGGATGCCCTCCCCACAATCAGGCTAAGTCCACAGTTTCATGAACCCTGCTGTACCTCACTTCCTCCAGGAAACCTTCAGAAACTCCAGGCTGTCAGCAAGAAGGAAGTGCAGCCTGCAGAGGAACAGCTGGGGGTGCGGGTGGGGGCAGGGACAGGAAGAGGAAGGCAGAGGGAGAGGGAAGAAAAGGAAGAGGGAGAAAAACTGAGAGGGAAGCTCTAAACTAGAATAAGCAGCCTCCTCAAGGGAGGTCAGTACTTAGTCTTATTATTTCATCCCAAGAGAAACGTGCTGGCAAAGAGATGCCCAGAGAGGGGAATCAATTTGTTCAAAGGTGGCCAGCCAGCCAGAGAAAAAGTTTAAAAAGGAACAGAGCCCAAGACCACTATCCAGAGCTCCTCTCCCAGGATCCTACTAACTCTCCATGGGTTTGCTAGACCTAAGAAGACCCTCTTTCTGTGGCCCACTGAGCAGTCAGTCCTCTATCAGCAACTCAGGCTCACCAAACCCAGATCAAATCTCAACTAGGAAGATCTGGGCAGCCCCAAACAAAATCCCTCTGCAAGAACCATTCCCCTCTTTCAGAGGCCTGCCCCTTGGAGACAGAACAGGTGGGACATAAGCTACAAAATTTTCCAGACTTCCCCACCCCATGGGGGTCAGTCACATGGCTGGGCTCACAGGCTAGGCTCCCCAACAGCTATGCGTGGTTCCCCTCTCTAGGCCTTAGTCCAAACCATTTCCTGAAGTGCCCTCCTTTACCCCTCTTCTCATCCAAATCTCACCTCCTCCAAGAGGAGGCTCTTGTTCACTGGCTCGTCTCCCTTTCTCCTTGTGCTCCTGGGGTCCACAGAAAAGTCTACCTGGCCCTCCCTAAACGCCTTATCCTGGATCTGGGGCATTACTCGTTTGAACCGCCTGAGATGGCAAATTCTCTGTCCAAGACTCTACTTGCTTCCCCCATCCTCTAGATTGGGGGCTCCCAGAGGCAGGGACCGAGACGGGTTCCCAAGTATCTCCCCCCATCCTCGTGACCGACTCCTGTCAGCGTTACAGCGAGGTTCATCTGGGCCCTCCACATACCACCCCGAAGCCCCGTTGGACCCCAGGCTCAAACCAATGCCCCCATCCCCGAAAACCGGAGGCGGCTCAGACCAGCGGCCCAAAGGCCCGCCGCCTAGGTTAGGTGGGGGCTGGGGAACACAACTACTCCTCCTGCAGGCGCCTCTTGTCAGGAAGGACCCCCAAAGAGGCCACAGTCACCCCGCCTCCAGGAGCTCCCCTCCCGGCCCGCGTGCGGCAGGAGGAGGGCCCCAGGAGGAGGACTGTTTGCTGGGAACGCCAGGTGGGCCCAAGGCCCAGGTTCCAGAATCCAGGGGTCTGACGTCATCCAAGACCCGGGTTCCCTCTGCGGGAGCCGGGAATGGGGATGGTGAGGGCTGGGGGAGGCCTGGGGCACCCGAAACGTTCTTCCCCCGCCCTAAGAGGGAAGGTCACCTCGACTCTCCACCTCTCCAGCTCGACCTGCCCCCTGCATCCAAAGGTGAAGCGTAGCAGGTACAAAACTGGAGATGGGGTGACCCACTCTCCACCTGCGCCCAACCTCCCTGCAAAGCCCTTCTCTGGGCCCTAAGGCCCGGGACTCACCCGCCGCTCTCGTTCGGCTGCGGAAAGGCCACCGCGCTGCCCTGCACCTAGCGATGCGGCTCGGAGCCGGCCGCGAGCCGCTCCGGGGCTGGAGGCGGGGTACGCGCGCGCTCGCGCACGCGCGCGCCTTGGGCCAGTTCCTCGCGCGCCCGCGCCACCTCTGCCTGCAGCAGCTGCTCTCGCGAGATTCCCGAGCTTCCACTGGGCCGCGGCTCCTGCACTCGCGAGAAGGAAGGCCTGGCCGCCCCTGCACCTTGCAGGAGCTGTCCGAGGTGCTAAGTTCCAGACTCTGGGCCGGATCAGGTGGTGGGCAGGCACTACGAGGACAAGAGCAAGTCTAGAATAGAATGTCGAGGAAGAGACCCAGAAATGTGAGTCTGGTACCAACAATCAGAACCTCAGCCTCCAAATCTGTAAACTGGGAGAATAACTTCCCATGCCAGTTCCAGGATCCTCTGGGTGTACCAGAAAGGAAGAGTGAGAGGGAACTTCATAAGCAGGAGACTGACGAAAGTCCTTCAGATCCACAAGGCCAAACTGTGTATAGAGGATGGAAGATTAGAGATGAAACATAAAGCGTCAGAAATGAGACATAGACAACAAAACACAAATCCAAAAAAACCAGACATAGAAAGACAAGAGAGGAGAGCCATGAAGAGAGGCATAGAAACACAAAGAACAGAGTCATGGAGAGATTAAGTTTTGGAGAGGAAAAAAGACAAGGAAAGACAAAGAAGAGAGCATGATGAAGTGAGAAAGAAATAAGAAATAGGGACAGACAAGCTACATAGAAGATTAAAAAGGGAGAGGCTTAGAAAGGAAAACAGAAAAAGAAAGAAAGAGAAAGGGAGAGAGAGAGAAAATAAGAAAGAGACTAAGGGTTTCCCTGGTGGTCCAGTGGTTAAGACTCTGTTCTCCCAATGCAGGGGGCCCGGGCTTGATCCCTGGTTAGGTAACTAGATTCCCCACGCTGAGACTAGGACCTGGTACAGCCAAATAAATAAATATTTAAAATACATATTTAAAAAAAAAGAAAGAGGCTGATATGCAGAGATGAACACTGAAAGAGAGTAGAGACTAGGGTAAATGTTTTAAAACCCAGAATCAATGAGAGTTGCCAGAGACCCACTTGGAGAGATGAGGCTGGGAGTGAAAGACAGATAGGCTTTCATTGTGAGTGATGTTTTCATATGCAAACCTCCTGTGGGATATCTACAATCAGGACCACCCTCTATCCTACCAGCCAATAAATAGCTCCTGCCCTTCATGGTGCCCTCCACCCACACCATCCTGGGCCTAGAAGGGGGCCTCAGTGGGTGGGAGACACTGTGGGGATTCTTTGCCCAGAATAAGGGCCCATTGTATGGTCTGAGCCTGCTGGGAGTGGGGCCTCACTTCCACAGCTGGGTCAGAAAAGGGGTGGGAGTGAATAAAGGCAGGCAGGAGTTAGTGCAGGAGAAGCAAGAAAAGGGACGGAGCCTCAGAGGCTATGGAGTATTGAGCAGGAAGCATAGTCTCTGCAGGAGAGAGGAGTCATGGGCTACAGAGCAAGACAAGGAGATTCTGCTTTTGATCCTGTCCCTGGTTCACTCTCATAATCACTGCCCTCTATCTTGCCATAAGACAAGTTTTAACTGATTTACAGAGTTAGGAGAGGACCCAATGAAATGATGAATGTAACCCTGAGAAGGTTATCAAGCATGGCTCCTACAGAAGAGATGTTGGGAGTCCATGTGGGCCTTAGGAAATATATATGGGCTCACATGAACCTCCAGGAGAGGGGTCCAGGAGAGGTTGAGCCGAAATTACAGTGGAGATGTTTGGGATCCATGTGGAATTTACAGGAGATATCTCGTGATCCATGTGGATCCTACAGGAGAATTATTTGGGTTCCTATCTGATAGCCATAGATGACCTTTCCCCAATCAAGAGAGTTAGAAGGACCTCCTATTTGGCTAACAACTGAGGCAGGAAAGGTGCCCAGATCCAAAATCAGAAGCCCGTCTTTGTCCCAGTAGATTGTACCTTCAGAATCTGGGTAAAGAGAAGGAAACGGTGTTTCAGGAATTACAGTCATTTAAACAAACTTAGGAAGCATCACTACGAACAAAGCTAGTGGAGGTGATGGAATTCCAGTTGAGCTATTTCAAATCCTAAAAGATGATGCTGTGAAAGTGCTGCACTAAATATGCCAGAAAATCTGGAAAACTCAGCAGTGGCCACAGGACTGGAAAAGGTCAGTTTTCATTCTAATCCCAAAGAAAGGCAATGCCAAAGAATGCTCAAACTACTGCACAATTGCACTCATCTCACACCCTAGTAAAGTAATGCTCAAAATTCTCCAAGCCAGTTTCAACAGTACATGAACCATGAAAGTCCAGATGTTCAAGCTAGATTTAGAAAAGGCAGAGGAACCAGAGATCAAATTGCCAACATCTGTTGGATCATCAAAAAAACAAGAGAGTTTCAGAAAAAATCTATTTCTGCCTTATTGACTATGCTAAAGCCTTTGACTGTGTGGATCACAATAATTTGGAAAATTCTGAAAGCGGTGAGAATACCAGACCAACTGACCTGCCTCTTGAGAAATCTGTATGCTGGTCAGGAAGCAACAGTTAGAACTGGACATGGAACAATAGACTGGTTCCAAATAGGGAAAGAAGTACATCAAGGCTGTATACTGCTTATTTAACTTATATGCAGAGTACATCATGTGAAATGCTGGGCTGGATGACGCACAAGCTGGAATCAAGATTGCCAGGAGAAATATCAATAACCTCAGATATGCAGATGACACCACCCTTATGGCAGAAAGCGAAGAACTAAAGAGCCTCTTGATGAAAGTGAAAGAGGAGAGTGGAAAAGTTGGCTTAAAACTCAACATTCAGAAAACTAAGATCATGGCATCTTGTCCCATCACTTCAAGGCAAATAGATGGGGAAACAGTGGAAATAGTGACAGACTTAATTTGTGGGGGCTCAAAAATCCCTGCAGATGGTGAGTGCAGCCATGAAATTAAAAGAGTTTGCTCCTTAGAAGAAAAGTTATGACCAACCTAGATAGCATATTAAATAGCAGAGATGTTACTTTGCCAACAAAGGTCCGTCTAGTCAAAACTGTTTTTTCCAGTAGTCGTGTATGGATGTGTGTTGGACTACAAAGAAAGCTGAGTGCCAAAGAATTGATGCTTTTGAACTGTGGTGTTGGAGAAGACTCTTGAGAGTCCCTTGGACTGCAAGGAGATCCAACCAGTCTATCCTAAAGAAAATCAGTCCTGAATATTCATTAGAAGGACTGACATTGAAGCTGAAACTCTAATACTTTGGCCACTTGATGCGAAGAACTGACTCATCGGAAAAGACCCTGATGCTGTGAAAGATTGAAGGCAGGAGGAGGAGGGGACGACAGAGGGTGAGATGGTTGGATGGCATCACCGACTCAATGGACATGAGTTTGAGTAAGCTCTGGGAGTTGGTGATGGACAGGGAGGCCTGGTGTGCCGCAGTCCATGGTGTCGCAGAGTCGGACCTGACTGAGTAACTGAACTGAACTGAAACAAACTTTACTTGACAAGTGTTTGCTGATCAGCTATGAGAAACAGCACAGTGCAGTGGTTAAGAATATGGGCCTAGAAGGCAGAATGCCTCCCCCTTACCAATTGTGTACATTTGTGCAAGGCAGTCACCCTTACTGAATCTAAATTTTCCAAATATGTAAAATAAGGATGATAATAATAGTACCTATGTCTTAGAGTTCCTGTGAGAATGAAATGAATTATTAATAACATGTGTAGACATATGTAACAATTGAGACAATGCCTGGTACACAGTAAGTGTCTAATGAGTGCCAGACCCTGGGGACATCTCTTTCTCATGGTAGAGGGCAGGAGTTAAAAAAAAAGCCAGAGCCAAACCATGCATTAACAGTTAAAGCTTATTCTCAGATGTGGTAAATGTCACCTTAGCTCACATGCCACTCACCAAAGCATGTCCTATGGCTAAAACATGGGCAACAGGGAGACTTGCTCCTTCTAGAGCAGGGGTCCTCAATCCCCAGCCACACACAGGAGGTGAGCATTGGGTGAGCCAGCAAAGCTTCATCTGCATTTACAGTCACTCCCCATTACTCGAATTACCACCTGAGCTCAGGAAAATAAGCTCAGGGCTCCCACAGATTCTGCATAACGGTAAGCTGTATAATTACTTCACAATGTAACAAAGATAGAAATAAAGTGCACACTAATTGTAATATGCTTCAGTCATCCCCAAACCATCCCCCATCCCAGTTCATGGAAAAATTGTCTCCAACAAAACCAGTCCCTGGTGCCAAAAAGGTTAGGGACCACTGCTCTGGAGGATGCAAGACGTGACAAACAGTGGGGATGTTTAATCCAACAGCAGAGAGGCAGTAAGTGACTGGGAATAGTAATCCAGTCACCCATGGGACGAGCTCCAGACTGCTTATCCTTCCTGCTCAGCTATGGCTTAATGAGGCAGGTACACCCAACAATCTCTGGGAGAAAGTCTGTTTACAGGACAATAAACAACTGGGAAGAAAAGAGGACTAGCATTTACTGAACTCTAAATATACCTGAGTGAGATGCTAAACCTCATGACTATCCTATGAAGTAAATGCTTTTATCCTCATTTTGTAGATAAGGAAAGTGAGCTTCAGAGAGGTAAGATGATCTGCCCAATAAAATAGAATGGATGTATCTAAGAAGTGGAAGAACCAGTATCTTTAGGTTGGATTTCCCCAGAAGCAGACACCGGTCGACTTGAGAGATGATCTCAGGAAGCACTAGTAGAGGAGTGGATGAAGGAGAAACAAAGAAATGAAATGAACTCAATTCAGGGTGCTATAATGAGCAATGGGCAATGGGGGTCTTGATTCTACTGGGGACCTCCAAGACACAGTGCAGAATACCATTGTATTGTATTGTTGTCCTACCAAAGAATGAGGAAACTGGGGTTGAGGGCTGCTCCTGAATTTTCAGATTTTCCTGTGTCCTGTGTGCCTTCTGAGCAGAGAAAACCCTTAGGCAGAAAACCCCAGGAGTTCACATGCTGTAAGAATAAAAGAATTTACAAGGACTTCCCTGGTGATCCAGTGGTTGAGACTCCATGCTTCTATTGCAGAGGGTGTGTTCGATCCCTGGTTGGAGAACTAAGATTTCACATGCCGTGCAGTGTTGCTAAAAATTTATATTCACATT